GAGCTTTGTCCCAGTTCGCTGAAGCAAACAGGCGTATAATTTCTTACAGTATCGCCGACTGATCTTTGCATAGGAGCTATGAGTGTGGATTCCGTTTAGATATCCTCGAGTTTCACTATCGCATATGTAAGAAAGGCTAACACGTTCTAATTTACATATAACCAAAATATTTCATTTAAATACCATTTAGTGCTGAGTGATATTTCAATGAAAGGAATATTTCGCTTTAAGATTTCCATACAAATACATTGGTTTAACATTTCTTACTAAAAATAACTATTTATTCAAATTAAAAATACTTCGGCCAGTAAATATTTGTATTATCTTAAAGATAGTAAAAAAGATTAACTGGCCGAAATATCTTTAATTTGAAGAACTATGAGTGCCGGCCAGGCAACCTCTTTCTTTACGATAAAAATAAATAGTTTAAATTTGTTTTAAATTTGAAATCATAAGAGAAATGCCATATAAAAAGTGATATTTAACGAAACAATTTATAATAAAACTCAAACATCGCTGATCAAAAAAATATTTCTTAAATAAAACCAACCAAGAAAGACATTTGTGTTTTCACATTGAAAAGAGAATAAATAACCAAAGAATTGGTGATTTGAGTGTAGATTTTCCCTGGAACACTTTGATAAAGTTAGCATTCAACCATACAGATCCCTCATCCACCCTATTCCCCCGACTTAGCCCCCAATGACTTTTTCCTCAATCCTAAATTGAAAATGAAGTTAAAAGGAAGGAAATTTGACAACGTTGATATGATACAAGCTGAATCGAAGGCAACCTTGAGGAACCTCTCAAAAAGTTATTTTATCTCCTGCTTCGACAATTGGAAAAAAAGATGGAACAGGTGTATTGAGGCAGGAGGGGTATATTTTGTAAAATATTAAATTAGTTTTTTTATTTGTTTTATTTTTTCAAAGATACAGAGCAGTCCTGGAAATTAATAAACGCACCTTGTATAACAATGGTTGTGATCATTGATTTCTATTTAAGAAACATTTTTTTTATATTTCAAAAATAGTTGTGTGTTATAAATTTCTATTTGTATATTCTATTTTCTTCAAATATAGATTCAAATAATATTATAATTGAATTAAATAAATATAAATATATTTGCATAGTTTCTTTATTCAGTAAATTGGAAGGCAATCTTTCACGCTGTCTTTTCTGTCTAAATATATTTTAGTCTGAAAATATATATTGAACAAGAGCATACTAATGAATTATAATCTCCCTCTCTCTCTCTCTCTCTCCACCAATCATATAAGTCTACGAAGACAACCAAAACGAAACTTCACTGAAAATCTATTTTTGAAGATAAAAGAAAAGAAATATGAAGATTTACAGTTGATAAATATTCCGATTTATTCGAATAATTCTTTGACAAGAGGTTTAATTGAATTTGACCAGGAGAAGGAGACAATAAATAACAAATTAAAACTAAATATGCCTCAAAATACAAGATGTCAAGAATAGAGAGACTCAAGAAAGAGAAATTGCCTGAAAGTTAAACTTTGATCATGTCTAAAAGAAAAACTCTTGTTTTAATTTTGATGAATATGACGAGAAAAACAAAATGATGCAAACAAAGAACTCATTTTAAAGTAAGAGTAAATAGCAAAGATGTGTCGAAGATGTCAGGTAAGAATTTCTCTGTAATCATTAAATTTACTTCCATTAAGGTTTTTCGGTTAAAGCAAAGAAATCCAACTCTCCTATCAACCTGATAGAGTCGCCTCTTTCTTGAAACTTCTCTACTGATGAGGGCCACAATCTACTGTTGAATTGGACCAACCCGAAGTTAGGTTTATTCTACCAACATTTATTGCCTCATCAACCAAACAGATATTGGATATAAGCACATAATGTGACCTGAATCAATGTATTGGGTCATTAGACTACGTGATAAAGTAACCCAAATTCATGTCTTTTAACAGATTCAAAACAATTTCGCGATGCTCTAGCACTTATTCCTGTTGTAAATCAATCTAGATGAGAAGTTAATCTGACTGACTGACTATATTCCAGCTAATTGACCAAATGGGATGGCCTTCTAGCTCTACTAATGTACTGATATGAATCAGACTGACCGCGGCAAAGGGTGTAGGTAACAAAGAAGTGGCGAGCCACTGATACTGCAAAAACACAGGTGAGTATCCCTGGGTCAGAGGGAAAGAGAAGAAGAGAAACCAAAATATAAAGTAAGGAATGGGGTAGAGATAAATAAAGAAATGTAAATAATCAGAGAAGAGGATAAATAAAAAAAATAAAATAATGGAAAGTAAATAAATAAATGAATAACTAATAAAATAATAATAAAACATTAGAAAAAAAAGTAATGTAAAGAAAAGAGAAAACTAGAACTAAAACTAGAAAACTAGCTCTAATCTGTCACCAAATATATAAAGAAGTGCTATGGCATCCATCACTGTATCCTTCTTTAGACGTTGTTGACCTCGAGAGTTCAGCTCTTTGGCTATATTAAATATTTATCTGAAGATAAGAACATATACACACTACAAAACTATCAGTAGTGTGGTTTTAAAAGGAGGAAGATAAAAATATAAAATAATATCAATATTTTAGAATTATTTATCTCTCTAAAAATATTCAATAAAATCAATTGAAGAACGAAGTAGAACTAAATTAGAACAAAGCCGGTATGTTAAAGGAAATGCAAGTGACGTGGTTTTTGTTGGTTTCCTGAGGGTTCTTCAGATTGTGTTTACAGCCACTTTATCTGGTTGTTGTTACGAGGTGATGAACTTCACGTGAACTTACTTATTAAGGCTGAAATCATAAAAGTTAGGTTTTAAGAAATATCAATAAACATTATTTTTTTTTTAATTTGTAAACCAGGTGAAGACAAATGATAAAAAAGGGACTCGGTGACAATATTTATCTGTTGACTATAAAGTCTGAATTCTAGGCTGCTGTGGGTAACAGACGTTCCAGATGGGGAGCCACGGACTTGACTTCGTCCCAGTTCTACTAACGGCGTTGTTGCGAGGATCTAGCTAGTGACTGGACAGTACTGGGACAGTCAGTGCTTATACCTATGAGGTAATGATAAAGTCATAATGTGTCCTTTCCTTCGGGTCGGTCAGGCAAATGTCGTCATCGTCCATTCCACGGACGGCCATGTGCACGTGGACTGGAACTCAACTTCCCTCCTCCGATAGCTTGCTCGCTCCACAGACCCAGGATTAGGTTCTGATTACTAGACTGCTGGTTCTGGCGCAAAACTCCGATGAGAGGCCTCGCGTGTGATGTAAGTCCGGCTTTCAGCGTTGTTAGTATCAGCAGGGCTGTAGTCAGTCTCTAGTTCGCTCCATTCCACTTTGTTGCCAATAGAGAACTCTACATAGAGTACAGCGAGCTGTCGGAATGGGAAGTTGGGCTCAGAGGTGTAAAAGACTGATGGGGTAAGAGAAGACAGACAGCCTCTAACTCCCCTCTGTGTTATGTATCTAGATATCACAGTGGAGCCCTTACCAAGTCTTGTTAGCATTTAGGTCAATGTCTTTCTTTAAGCTCCCTCCTTACGTCACTGAGTCCCTTCTTTATAGATTTATCTTTCCACGGGATTCACTCTCATATAAATCGACAATCCTATCTCCATAAATTTCGGGATTTCTCTTCAGTCCCCTGCAGGGAAAATTGGAAGTTCACCTATGAGGAGTTAGGAAACCAAACAGTAATATTGGAACCCAACTTCTAATTTTATGTTCTGATTCTTCTCAACTTCTGTTATGTCCAAATTGACGGTTTGGATACCGGGAAGGTGTCGCCGGTATGGAACCTTAGCTGTACAGTTCAAGTTGATTATTACAGACTAGACGAATGACCCGGGCAACGCCCGGGTTTACCCGATTAAATGTTTTATTCAAACACTATTCGTTACAATTATAAATTGGCGCCGTGGATGTCACTCTTGTGAAACGTCCCGCTCCAAACTTTACAGTCAGATTAGTTACGATATAAATCTTCAAATCGAGCGAGCGTCTATAAATATTTCGATTTAGATCAAGTATTCTAATTAGTAAGCGAACTATTTTAAACGTATTTATAACCTTGATAGAGGGCGCTGTTCGTGAGCTAAGTAGAATAATTAGAATATATAGTTTTAATATTTAATTTATATATAATTTAAAATAACCTATCGTTGTCCTAGGTAGCCTAGTGGTCATGGCATCTGCCCGGTAAGCGGAATGTCGTGGGTTCGATTCCCATCCCTTGACACTTTTTTTATTTTATCCATTCTGACCAAATTCTATCCGTGAACTTCACACAGTGAACTTCACACAGACAGAATAAGGCAATTATATAAGTAGATGCCACTAACCAAGAGAGAGTAACGTAGATGATAATTTTAACAATAAACAATTCTCTCTCTATATATACAAGTCGTCATACTATAATTACATTATACAATACTAGACGAATGACATGGATAAAGCCCAATTTTTAACTGAGAATATATGTATAAAATAAAATATGTTGTGATTATATAAATTAAATGATACTCATTACAATTATATATTATAACCTGGCTTCGCCCGTGTTCTCCTCAAGTGAATGTTTTCCCAATATATAATGCCAAAATCTGTAATAATTATTTTGCTATTTCGTTTCTTATGATATATATAAATCTTTTCTCTTTTTCTTATCCTAATACCTTCAATTCTTCCTTTTTTCCCTCGTGTTCTACTGCTATGACGCGTAACTGCCGAAGCTACAGCGTGAACTTGTTATAGCCCTATGTTGTTACTTAAAATACAAAACCTTTTTGACACCTTAAAAATAGCATTTATCTATTTACTTTTTAACTATCAATACTCCTTCTACCAATTATCTTCCATATATTATAACTCTACATATATATATATATATATATATATATATATATATATCATCAAATCAAGATAAATAATATGCAACTTAGATAGATCACTAACAGAACATACCTGTTCCCTGTATATGCAGTATTTACAAAGCTATGGAGACTCTAGAACCAGCGACCTAAGGATCACCGTTAATGCATCTACAGTCCTCCGCTCTGCCAACTGAGCTATCGAGGGTAATGGAGACTCTAAAAGACGTTATGCATATATGTCAGATTCTATTTGCATACACGAGGGAACCTAAACCTCAGGTTTTACATTCTTTTACCTCATTAGATTACCTGAGACATCAAAGGAATCCTCGTTCCCATTCCACAAACAAAAATTCCATTTCCTCCAATTTATATAATATTCCAAAATCAAATAATAGAGGAGAAATTCTAACGATGGAGTCTCCGTATAGAGGTATTTGCCGAACACAAATGATGTATCGTCTTTTGGAATTATTGGGAAAATGGTGAAAACACACAAAAAGAACAAAGCTTTATTAGAATAATTTGAATTTATTTGAGTGAATTCTGTTCCCCATAATCATACGTTTGTATAAAATATAAATTTAATATTATAGATTTACTAGAACATTAGCCTTTTCTACAATGGGTATTGTACAAGAACTATTTCAAAGCTTTATTAAAGTTTTGAAAGTTTACATATATATTTGTATACATAATTATCATTACTCTTTACAATTCATCCTATCATACTTCATCATCTCTAAGGTTAGAAATAATCGCTATTTCTCCTTAAAATAAATTTTGATTTTTCGTTCAAAAGAAATATTCACGGTGTATAATTCTTCTCAATGTATAATTTTCTTACAACATAAACCTTAGATTATTAAAACATTGGATCAGTAAACATGAGGGCAACCATTTCGTTATTTTACATTACTTTATTTTTCATATAACATTTTTGTAAACAACAAAGGTGATGATGATAAATTCAATGAATATTTACACAATCATAGAAAAATTAAGTTAAACCTTTATATAAACATAAATATTCTAACTAAATTAAACACGCGGTATAATTGCAATTTTCGTTTTACAATTATAAGCCGCATTATATTGTATTATAAAACACATTTACATATTATAATGCATTAGCGCGCCATCTGTTATCAAAATTCGAAACTATTATAGACGCGTTAAAAAGAATCATACGCGTCTATAACATTTACATATATTTAGGCATATAATAAAAATATAGAGAGAATATGCTTTTACCATCGTGCTACTAACCAAAATGTATGGTTTTTAAGCCAAAAAATGAATGTAGCAATCAGACAAGCTGTAATGCACTATAGCAAAGTACCAAGGTGCTGCACGCCACCAAGGTTGTTCAAAAAAAGGTTAGATTCCCCAGGCCAGGGCATAAATATATAAATATGCATATATTAATAATATCCAAGATAAACAGATTACAAATTAAAACAGATAAATTAATGAAAATTAGAACTTATTTTAGACGCGTAAGATTCTTTTTGAAATTAAACAATTTCTACTGTCCTTACTGTAATGGAAAAATTAATGGAGGGCCTGGTTTCTAATTTTCATAACAGGTGGCGCGCTAGTACATCGTAAGATAAATTAATATACAAGATTAATGAGAAATAGTACAAAAGTGAATTTGTACTTAGATCAGGTAGATAAATTGAGAAAAAGGGCATTTCCTGATCATGCAACTAAAAAGTTTCTGATTTATTCCGATAGATGGCGCAAGCCATCAGCAACTTTTAGTTGCACGATCAGGAAATGCCTCTTTTTTCTCAACATACAAGATTAGGTCAATAAATGATCGGTAATAATTTTTTTATTAACAAACTAGAAAACTGAAACTCTCTATATAAGAAAACTCCGCTCTAAATACTTTTATTTATGACGTTATTATGTGGCTTGCATTCTTCGACTAGAAAAATTTTTAACAATGATTTTTTAAAAATAAATTTCGAATAATAATTTTATTTTTCTTTAAATCTCTCTCTCTCTCTCTTTTATTTTATGTACGGTTAAACCTGCCTATAGCGTCCCTCTAAAAATCGCCTCCTCTCTATTGCGCCCGATTTTAAATACGTAGTACGATGTGATTTACATTAAAAGTGACCTGTCTATAGCACCCCCTCTCTATAGCACCCTATTTTGGTGAGTTCCAAGAAGGGGCGCTATAGACAGGTTTAACTGTAGGTAGTACGATGTGATTTACATTAAAAGTGACCTGTCTATAGCACCCCCTCTCTAAAGGTATTTTGGTGAGTTCCAAGAGGAGGCGCTATAGACAGGTTTAACTGTATGTATATTTATTCATCTATATTTATTCTTATTTAATCTTATTTATTTATATATATTCATTTATTTTATATGTATAACCTTATATAACCATATATGAACGATTTAATAATGAAGTTTTAATCTCAATCTCTCTCTCTAAAAAGTTTAGCTTTCTTATTGTTAAAAAAAATACACATAAAGTTGCATAATTGTAATATATATTTGAATATAAACCTTCCATTTCCGACTGCTGCAACCCGGTATCGAATCTCGTAACATTGGGCGCTTTTTTTCTGAATAACAAAACTTGCTCTGATGGCTTTCGATACTTTCAAAGTTTCAACACCAACAGTGAGTGCAAGTAACCAAACGGGGCCCTGGCACATTTGTAATTTACAAAAGTTGAAATAGAAGTTTTATTTATTTGTGAAACGTAAACATTCGCGTTTTAAAGTCTTCATTCGTTTTATATAGATGGCGTGTGATTGCTTTGTATTGAAAAATCAAACTGCTTTCTACATATCTAGATATCAATGTGCTCGTGGTCAGGAGATGCCTTATTTATTTTTAATATCAATATATATATATGAAAAAAAAAAACGAAAGAAAAAATAAAAGATAAAAAGGTCAGGTGTTGAAATCAATAATTTAAAAAAAAAATGGCATATCCTGACCAGGAGTACATGTGCTTTACAGAAGGCAGAGCGCCATCTGGTGGAACAGAAATCAACTAAACATTGATTTAGCCTGTTCCCTGATATTTGGCCAACCCAATTTCTTGATTTATCAAGAAATTGGGTTGGCCAAATATCAGGGAACAAGCTAAATCAATGTTTAGTTGATTTCTGTTCCACCAGATGGCGCTCTGCCTTCTGTAAAGCACATGTGCTCCTGGTCAGGATATGCCATTTCTATTATTAAATATATATATGTAATGTAATCAATCCAATATATGGCATTTTATTATCTACATATGTAAATATGTGGTGCATATATAGTAAAAGTAGTCGCTAACTATTAATCTGTACCACGTGACTACGGATAATTAAAAAGAGTAGTGAATTTTAATAGAATATTATACGATGTATTTTTTTATGTAAGCGGAAACTTCTAATATTAAAAGATTATTTATAAAATATAAATAAGGAGGGAGTGTTGATTAAGCTTCCTATATAAACGAGATTTCTTAAATAATTTATGGGGGAAACTTTAAACAAAATATATCGTCTGTATAACCATTTTTTTATTTAGCCTAATAAGTGTGTGGTTTTCAAAGTATCTCTTTTTAATTACTTCAAGTTCATATTACATATTTTAATTACAAAATACCAAATCCTTTAAGAGTTTGGTAATTATGGGGAACACTTTTTCAAAACAAAGTTGAAAGGGCCAAGTTTTTGTTCGTTATGGAGATTTTGCATTATAAATAGAGGGTGAGATGGGTAAACTTATATCTTTTTTTTAATATTCAGGGTTTTTTTAGGTAGATCTCTAGGGGAGCCATGTTCTTTTCTATCTTGAGTTCTTCTCTTTATTTCTTCATATCTTCCCATCCAGTTCAACGGTCGAATTCTTATAGCACTATGTTCTTTAAGAAGGTACTGTTCTTGAGTGACGTCATACTTCTCTATCATGAGTTCTTCTCTTTATTTCTTCATAACTTCCCATCCAGTCCATCAGTCCAATTACTCTATCTCTGTTCTTGAGTGACGCCATACTCCTCTATCATGAGTTTTTCTCTTTATTTCTTCATAACTTCCTATCCAGTCCATCAGTCCAATTACTCTATCTCTGTTCTTGAGTGACGCCATACTTCTTTATCTTGAGTTCTTCTCTTTATTTCTTCATAACTTCCTATCCAGTCCATCAGTCCAATTACTCTATCTCTGTTCTTGAGTGACGCCATACTTCTCTATCATGAGTTCTTCTCTTTATTTCTTCATAACTTCCTATCCAGTCCATCAGTCCAATTACTCTATCTCTGTTCTTGAGTGACGCCATACTCCTCTATCATGAGTTCTTCTCTTTATTTCTTCATAACTTTCTATCCAGTCCATCAGTCCAATTACTCCATCTCTGTTCTTGAGTGACGCCATACTTCTCTATCTTGAGTTCTTCTCTTTATTTCTTCATAACTTCCTATCCAGTCCATCAGTCCAATTACTCTATCTCTGTTCTTGAGTGACGCCATACTTCTCTATCATGAGTTATTCTCTTTATTTCTTCATAACTTCCTATCCAGTCCATCAGTCCAATTACTCTATCTCTGTTCTTGAGTGACGCCATACTCCTCTATCATGAGTTTTTCTCTTTATTTCTTCATAACTTCCTATCCAGTCCATCAGTCCAATTACTCTATCTCTGTTCTTGAGTGACGCCATACTTCTTTATCTTGAGTTCTTCTCTTTATTTCTTCATAAATTCCTATCCAGTCCATCAGTACAATTACTCTATCTCTGTTCTTGAGTGACGCCATACTTCTTTATCTTGAGTTCTTCTCTTTATTTCTTCATAAATTCCTATCCAGTCCATCAGTCCAATTACTCTATCTCTGTTCTTGAGTGACGCCATACTCCTCTATCATGAGTTCTTCTCTTTATTTCTTCATAAATTCCTATCCAGTCCATCAGTCCAATTACTCTATCTCTGTTCTTGAGTGACGCCATACTTCTCTATCATGAGTTCTTCTCTTTATTTCTTCATAACTTCCCATCCAGTCCATCAGTCCAATTACTCTATCTCTGTTCTTGAGTGACGCCATACTCCTCTATCATGAGTTCTTCTCTTTATTTCTTCATAACTTCCCATCCAGTCCATCAGTCCAATTACTCTATCTCTGTTCTTGAGTGACGCCATACTTCTCTATCATGAGTTCTTCTCTTTATTTCTTCATAACTTCCTATCCAG